ACACTTGTGAGCTTGTATTCTGCCAAATATATACATATATTCCACTCCCACTAGTTAATCTTTAAACTGTGGAATGATTTTGAGATAGGCTTGTAAATATATCATCTTGGGGTACACTCATGCACATTTCAAACCAGAATGGTGTCACCCAAAATGAAGTGCTTACCATAATTTAAAAAACACACAAAGTTCTGCATTTATCTCTAGGTACTTTAGCATAAAAAGAGGTCAAGAAATTTAAAGAGCAACCAAAATTAATAAGAGGATGATTACAAGAGCTAATTATCTTAGGCAAATAGTGACTATTAAAGAAAAAGGTGCCAGACTGTTTGCCCAATTAGAAGTACAGCATCATGGGTCATTGTGGGGCCATTTTCCTGGCAAATGAAGGACTGTGGAGCAGAAATGCCTTTATGAGAGGCAAAACTGGACAGGGTAGGAGACGGAAAACTGGACATGGGGTCTCCATGGTTTGGGGGGGACAAGGGAATTACCCTATGCGTTATGTGGTCCAACTATGAACAACCACTGAGCAAGCCTTATAATGGGGAAGTGACCCACTGAAGAATGAGTCACATGCTACTGAGATCCCACTAAAAAGATGAGTTTTTTTTTAGTTTAGAAAAATGAAGGCCAAAGGAGCCCTGGTGGCATAGTGGATTACGTGTTGGTCTGCTAACCAGAAAGTCACAGTTCAAACTCACCAGCCACTCCAAGGGTCAAAGATGAAGCTGTCTGGTCCCTGAAAGGTTCAGTCTAGACAACCCTAAGGGGTCCTTCTACTCTGCCTCATAGGGTCGTTGAGTCAGAAATGACTTGGCAGTAGTGGCCATGTTTGGGGATTCAGACAGCGCTTCTCATCCTGTGGGTTGTGCACCCCCTTTGGGCGTCAAATGACCCTTTCACAGGGGTGGCCCGATTCATAACAAGAGTAAAATGACAGTGATGAAGTAGCAACAAAAATAATTGTATGGTTAGGGGTCACCACCACATGAGGAACTGTATGAAAGGGTCGTGGCCTGAGGAAGGCGGAGACCGTCTGGGTTAGGAGATGATCACACACTCGATTCCTTAGCCCTCAGGCCTAAAGAGTGGCCTGAGTGGCTTAAAGAGAAAAGGGGAAAAGTGAAACTGAAATGGACTTGAAGTCTTGTGACAAACAAGTTCACTTCAAACAATTAAAAAAAAAAGAGAGATGATCACAGATTTGTAAGACTATGAATGGCCCATATATACGGAATCCTGATTTTTCTTCTCATTCAAACACGAAGCACTTGGCCAAAAATGCCTTTATGACAATGACAAGGTACCTAGTTTACATTCATCAAAAGGGAACACAGGACAGAGGAGGGGTGGGGTAGCAAAATGACAGAGAACATGAACTCTGAAAGTCAGACACCCTGTGTCCATAATCTGGCCGTCCCACTTCCCAGCAGTGTGACCTGGCACCTTCTTGACTCCCTAGGTCTCAGGCTCCTCAGCTGGAAAAATGGAGGAAATAATGGGCCCTATCTCACAAGAGTTGTGGTAAGGATTTAACACACGCAAAGCACTCAGAGGAAGAAAAAGAACTTAGCACATGGTGAGCTCTCTATAAATTCTAGAATGCAATGCAAAAACCAAGAAACAAATTTGTCTGTCTGGGCTGAAACAGTCAGGAGTGCCTGTTTTCCAGAAGGTGGAAGTGATGACTATGAGAGAGCTGGGCCAACAGCTTTGATTACTCTTCACAGGGCCAAGGCATTACTTTTGCAAAGGCATCACACGATGTGGGGTCAAAGAACTGGAGGAAATCAGATGAACGGGCAAGGTGATAGCCTCAGAAACACCACTGTGGTCAGATGTGCCAAATTGGCGAAGTTCTTCTGTCTGGCTGAGGCTTTCCAGGATTTCATATGTATTTAAAAACAGGGGAGGAGGGTGTGTAGGGCTACCATTCCACCTCCGGCTACGGCCCTTTCCCCTTCATCAGTTCCACTCCATAGAGGAACTGTGGCTGTCTTTCAGGACCAGGCCCAGCTCAGGCTCTTTCCTACTGCAGAGCCTTTGCAGGTCAGTCTCTCCGTCTTTCCTACTCCCCCCATGACCAGGTCTTCAACCTGCACATTCCAGCTACAGCCACTGCTTCTGCTGCCCTTAAAGTAGGTCTCCTCACTTCCCGTCTCAGGGTCTAGCGTGCTTTCCAGCACAGCCCAGCACTTATCACACGTTGCAATTATTTTGTTGCTTCGTTCTCTTTCTTTCCCCTAATGTTTCCTCCACTAGATAGTTCTATAAAGAACATGGCCTTATTCTCTATAGCATTCTCAGTTGAACTTAACATATTGACTAGCACAAAACAGGCACTCAATAAATGTTTGCTGAATGAAGTAATGACCCCGAAAGTCTCTTTCAGCTAAAAACACTAACTATTCAGTACCATATTATTATGCATATAATGTTCACACTATATGCATCATATTTTGGACATGCTGTCAGGAGAGACCAGTCCCTGGAGAAGGACATCATGTTTGGTAATATAGAGGGCGAGCAAAAAAGAGGAATGCCCTCAAGAAGTTGGATTGGCACAGTGGCTACAACGGGTTCAAGCACAGGAACAATGGCGAGGCTGGCACAGGACCTGGCAGGGTCTCCTGTTGGGCAAAAGGTTGCCATGGGTTGGAACTGACTCAATGGCACCTAACAATAACAACAATGTTCATATTATGCCAGGCCCATTTCCCCTAATTTCATCATTTCTACATGAAAAAATACAGAATAGAACAAAAAACTCAGTATGAAGTTTTAACTTCCTTATGAGTCTAGGAATTTCTTTTCACAAAAATCAAACTAACCAATGGCTTTGTTCCAAGAAATATAGTTACAATCTGACTGATGTAATCTATTAATGATTAACACCTTTCTCAATGACTTTGTAACTTTTCATTTCTGATTTCCCTTACTCATTGTAACCATAAGAGATCAAGACCCAAACTTATGTTCAAGAACAGGCTGGTGAATAGGGCTTCTTAAAAATACAGACATTTGGATCATACTCTAGGGCAGTGGTTCTCAACCTTCCTCATGCCCTTTCATACAGTTCCTCAGGTGGTGGTGAGCCCTAACCATAAAATTATTTTCGTTGCTACTTCATCACTGTCATTTTGCTACTCTTATGAATTGGGCGATCCCTGTGAAAAGGTTGTTCAACCGCCAAAGGGGTTGTGACCCACAGGTTGAGAACCGCTGCTCTAGGGAATGTTGATTTCTTATTTGTGAAGTGAGGCCCTGGAATACATATATTTAAAAGCTTGCTTCTTTTGAAAAGGAAATATAAACATGGAGTACACAATTTAATAGGTCCAGAAAAGTGTACAACAAACTACTATTTTCACTCGTTTCACTTTTTTTAATAGTTAAATTTCTTTTAATAAGAGTTGTATATACTTCATCACAATCAGTTCTCATGTTCCCTCTTTTTCTACATCCATTATGTGCTCCCCAGTTCCCCTCCCCTTTCCTAGCTCCTTGTTCCCTATAAACCACTGCATCAGCTATGGTCTCCATGCAGCCACTTCTGTCCCTCATAGACTGGGAAACCTAACAGAAACAATAAAAAGCAAAATAGAAAGAGAAACAATATAGATAAAAATGAAAATAAAGAGTAAAACAGAAAAGACCCCCAGCAATATTAAAAAGCCAGAGAAGAAATTTCTGTTGTTGAACAAGCGATAGGTATTTAAGCCTAGAGCAAACTCAGGTTGTATGACCAATTTTATTTTAAAATTTTTAATTATTATTATTTGTATGACCAATTTCATGTGTATCCTTCCCGATAATCACCTATGTAAGCAAACATGTATACAGTATCTTTTGTTTTACGCACACACTTGTAAATTTAAAGAATTGTTCTCAACTTGGTGTTTCTCTTTTCATTTAACCATCTCTGTTGAAAATGGAGGTATCTGTATTTTTAACAAACACTAGCGTCTAAGTCATTCTAATGTGAAGCCAAATAAGAGAGGACTTCAAAACGTTCGTGGAAAAATTCCATTTTCTTCCTTCTATTCCATTTCTCCATACATTTTTTTGAGGCCAGGGTGATGGGATTTCAGTTCAACTCACTGTGACTCATTCAAAAACTCAGTAACTTACTTGGCCTCTGACCCCTTCCTTATCTCACCAAGAAAAACACTCTTCAATGCCTCCTTAGAAACTAAGAAAACCTGGTCATTCAAATGGGTGTGGTCAACTCTTGGAATCCCGTCCTGCCTACCACCCTCTGAAAGCACACACTGGACGATTCCTGCGTTACACAAGACCTTTCGGCATCTGCGCGGAAACCTGATGGCACCCACACCTGGCCAGAGCAGACAGCCGTGCCCGCCTGGCGGTGAAGTAGTCCAACAGCACAGGTGTAATACTGGCCCTATTAATCCTGCTGACAAAAGAGCATCCAACCCTCCCCCCGGAATCGCTGTCCTCCCAGCTGCGTGCGCCAAAGCAATGAACGCGGAAACTGTTGCCAGAAGACATACTGTCAGGCCGAACTTGGGGAATTCTGGAGTTCGGGCGCCGGGCGACCGGACTTGCCCTACCTGGGGCGATGGCGGCCGGCGCGCCCTTCCCGACCACCCCGAGGGCTGCAGACAGGGAGTTTCCTTGAGGAACGGAGGGCAAGCCCTCCAAGGGCCACAGCCGAATGGCCTCCGCAGTGCCCCTGTCCCCATTCGGGGCACGCGCGGCGGCACCCCCGCTGCCCGCGGTTAAAGGGGCTGTAGAAGTGCGTCTGCGGGAGCCCCGGCTGGGGAGGGCGTGACTCCACCCCTTCTCCCGCGATTTTAGAAGTGATGACCGGGAAGTGGGGCTCTAGGGCCCGGCCCTTCTCCACGCGCGCTCTTCTCCCATTCGGGGGGCGGGCAGGTCCTCTGGGCCCGGAGTACCCCCTAAGCTGCCACCCAGGCCTTCCCTCTCAGCCGGCTGGCCGGCACCCTTCCGCCCGTCAGTCCCCAGCCCCTCACCCAGCATGATGGGGCTGAGCCGCCGGGCCAAGGCCCTTAGACAGGTCGTACACGTAGAGCATCACCGGATAGAGATGCGGCGGCTCCATCAGGACCCGTGGCGGCGGCGGCCACGACGTCCTTCGGGCACCCGGCAGCGGCTCCGACCTTCCCGTACCCGACGGGGTGGGGAGCGGGGGACAGCGAGCCCGGGCCAGGCCTGAGGGGCGGAAGAGAGGCAGCCCTGCGTTGCTCGCGCCCCCGCGCTCGCCGCCGGCAACGACAACTGTGAGGTGACAGAGCCGGGACAGGGACAGTTCGCACGGGAGAGGGGGCGGGGGCGGGGGCGGGGGGTGGTGGAGGGAGACGCACTTTCGCGCATGTGCATGTGGCCTTGAGGGCCAGAGGGCGGGGTTTCGCGGATAGGGGCGTGGCTTTCGCTCGCTGGGTTGGCTTTAGTTCGGGTTGACAGCGTTCGGAGTAGTGGGCGTGTCAGCTGCGCAGTAAGGCGCGAGTCGTGCGTGATGACGTTCGAGGCGTTGATTGGAAGCAGGAGCTGGAGCCCGCGCACGCGCGTTGTTTCACCTTAAGTCCAAATTGCCGTTTTGTGCACCAAAGGTAGGCAAAGGTGGGCGTTGGGTCATGGGCTGTGAGGATGACTCAAGAGGTAGGGCTGGCCTCGTCCCGCGTCATCTGCTCAGTCTCCCGCGCTCCGCTGGCTTCGCCATTGGCCTAAAGTGCTCAGCTAAGAGAAATCGAGAGACTCCGACCCCCTTTCTCCTCGGGAATGCGGAAGGCGGAACCTGGTCTCAGAGGCCCTCCTGCGGAGACCCTACTGGATATGACTGGCCGGGGGCTGAGGGTTTGAGTGAGAAGAGGACGGGAGGGTCCTCCAGAGGACGGAATATTCCAGAGCGGGAATCCCTCACCATCCAGATGGCACTGTGTGCGCTCCTGGAACACCAGGGTTGGGCTGTGCCCACACGGACCAAAGTGGCTACCTGACCCACCCGCCAGCTCTGTTAGGAATCCTGACCCCCCTTCCCACTTAGCCCTGCACCAACTAACCGGATCCATGGGCCACATTCCTTTCGTGACTAAACACTGGTCCTTAGGGCAGATCTCAAAGCCTTGAAGCTTTTCTGTCCTCCCCCTCCCCCCCCACCGCCCGCATTAAGTCTTGCTGTCACTGACTTTAACTTACTTTCCTTTAGCAGTTACTAACATGTCAGAGTGGGAGTCTTATTACAAAAACGAGGGAGATGAAGAGGAAGAAGAACAAGATGAAGGCGGCCCTGAAACAGGCGGTAAGGGATGTGAACAGTGTACAGTTCTGTGTGAAAGACTCCTCTGCCTATCCCTGCATGCAGGTCTCCTGTAGGGAGGAACATATTAAGCTACACCAAGTGGATACATTTAGCGATATCTGCAACACAGTTTCCTGGTTCTTCAACAAACAAATTGCAAAAGGAAAATAATAGAGGTAGTATTTTTAGATTAAAAAACAGAAGTAAAGTAGTGATTATCAAAAGCTAGGATAGAGATTACTCTTATAGGGTGGGGGCATTATTATGGGGATGGTATGTGGAGGGCATCTGGAGTGACTGTTGTAGGTGCCATTAAATTAGTTCTGACCCATAGTGACCCTCTGTATGGCGGCATGAGATCGGGCGCAGTTCCCACACTGTGTCTCCAGTGTCCCCAGCAGGGCCATGGGTCGCCTCTGTACTTTGTGCGGAGTGCCTGGCATGGCACAATTTACTGATTGGGTGATGATTTTAAGGGTGTTCACCTTATTCTTTAGGCTGCACATTTGTCATATGAGTTTCCATTATGTGTTTTATATGAATGCTAAATGTGAACACAGGACAAACAATTCCTTTAATTTTTCCAATAGGAGAATATAAATATTCTGGAAGAGATAGTTTGATTTTCTTGGTTGATACTTCCAGGGCCATGTTTGAATCTCAGGATGAATTGACTCCTTTTGATATGAGCATCCAGGTAAAATGACTTTTTAATTTAATAAACAGCACCCCTCTCCCAAGTATAGTAAAGCTATGTTATAGACTGCCTTCTTCCCACCCCCCAAAAAGGATTTGTTATAAATGCTAACCTCTATGCCTATTATAATTCCATTTGGGAAAGAGTTGTTTATTATGTGAGTAAGGAAGAATTCATGCAGGATGTGTCTTGAGTGAGTCACTTATTTAAAAGGAGCCGGCCAAGATAGGGAAGTGATGTTGCATGAAGCTCACTCAAGAGCCAAGGAACAAAAGCTGGAGCGATAAGGACCCTTTCTCAGAGCCAACAGAGAGAAAGCGTTTCTCACGAACTGGTGTCATGAATTCAAACTTCTAGACTTGTAAACTTGTAGAAAAAAAAAAAAAGGTTTCTCAGGGCCACCCCTTGTGGTGTTTCTGTTCTAGCAGCATTCAGTAACTAAGACAAACTGTAAACCCCCCAAAACAAACTTACTGCCATTGAATCCATCCCAGGCATAGGCTCTCTGAAAAGTTTCTTTGTGAATGGTCAGTGGTGAATAGCTTCCCAGGGTGGTATATACCCATGCAGTATAAAAGAGACTAGCAAGTCTTTATTTAGTTTTAATTCTGAGATTGAATTGAGGAGTATATTAGTCTAGGTACTTTGGAGAAACAAATCCACAGCAAATCTCTCATGTATAAGAGAGAGTTTTATGTAAAGAAAATGTGCATCATAAAAACATCCCAACCCAATGCTGCCCAAGCCCACAAGTCCAACATTAACCCATTAACCCAACACCAGTCCACAAAGTCCTCCACCTCACAAAACAGAGGCAATGATGCCGACTGCAGGAGGAAAGCTGAGTCAGTGAACGAACAAGCATCTCAGCACTAGCAGGGGTCTCCACACGGCTGCTCCAGCACCCAGGGCTGCATCGGGGTAGGTCCATGGAGCTTCTCCTTGGGGATGTCTTGTAGGAAGTCAATCTTGCAAGCTGAAGCAGGGAACTGCTAAGGCAGCTGCACCCTGGTGCAACCATCACAAAGCAAGAGATCCGAGAACTAGAAAGGCGAGGCTCATCACCCATTTATCCCTCCGCCTTTCAATTAGCCCCATATGTGATTATCGGCCAGGCTGGCACAATTAACTCACTCAAGGAGCTCTATGACTCCCTGGACAGATAGATGTACTGTGCTGTACAAAGGTGGCCTGTATGATGTTGTGGTATTGGAAACAATCCCAACAGTATTTCACATGCCAGAAGGGTCATTCAGGGTAGCCCGGTTTCATCAGAGCTTCCAGACTAAGACAGACTATGAGAAAGGGAAGAGACAGTCTACTTCTGAGCCATTGAAAATATTATGAATAGCAGCAGTACATGAGCCACTCAAGTAGGAGGGTACTCAAAATACAACTGGGGAAGAGCTGTGTTCCCAAGATGGCCTTGATCTTGATGATATGAATGGAGTTAAGCTTTCAGGACCTTCATCTCTTCCTGTGGCACAACTCAAACTGAGAAGAAACAGCTGCAAACATCTGTTAATAATCAGAATGTACAAAGTACGAATCTGGGAAAGTTGGAAGTCATCAAAAATGAAATAGAACCCAAAGATAAATATCGTAGGCATTAGTAAGCTGGAATGGACTGATTTTTGGCTGTTCTGAGTCCGCCAATCATGGTTTACTATGCAAGGAATGATAAATTGAAGAGGAATAATGTCACATCTTCAAAACATTCAAGATTTATCGTGACGTACAAAGCTCTCAGTGATAGAATAATATCTATATGCCTACGAGGAAGACTAATTAATACAACTATTTTTATGCTCCAACCCCTAAAAACAATGATGAAGAAATTGCAGAATTTTACCAACGTTTACAGTCCAAAATTGATCACACGTGGTCAAGGTGCACTGATACATACTGATAACTGAAATGTGAAAGTTGGAAATAAAAAGGGATGATTATTAGTTGGAAGATATGGCCTTGGTGAATGTATTAGTCTGGGTTGACTAGAGAAGCAAATTCATAGCCACTCATGCATAAGAAAGAGCTTTATAAAAAGAGTAATTGTAGATTAAGAAGACATCCCAGCCCAGTGCAGATCAGGTCCATAAGTCCTATATTAGCCCATATCTCCGATACCAATCTATAAAGTCCTCTTCAGACTCAAGCAACACATGCAATGCTGCCGAAGATCACAGGCCAGTGGGTGGGAAGTCTTGTGGATCCAGTGGCGGTGTAAGCATCTCAGCGCTGGAAGGGGTCTCCATGTGCCTCCTCTAGCTCAGGGCACTAGCGTCGCTCCATGTGTCTTGTCAGCTGCAATGTCTCCCAGGGAGTGAGCCTGTGTCTCGCCTCCAGCAAGCTATTTATCTCTTTAGCCCCTCCAAATGAAGTCATCAAGCTATGGGACCTGATTGACAGTCTAGCTTCCACCCCTTCACTCTGAATCCCCACAAATTGACAACAGATTGTGTAACACCACAATGATAGAAATGAAATTGCATGATAAAGTTTTGCAAGACCAACAAGTTAATTATTGCAACTACCCATTTTTAACAACATAAACAGCCTCGACTGGTCTCTTATTTCAGACCCCAGGCACTTAACAAACTAGGAGGTAGAACAGAAGCAATAAACATGTTATTAGGCCAATTAGCTGGGAATTGTCATGAAACCATAACCCTAAACCTCCAAACCAAGGAACCAAATCCCATAATGTATTTATATTGATTATAACTCACCCCCCCTTCCTGAATTGTTCCCCCTCCACTAGCATAAACTCATCACCCCTCAAAGTATCTATCTAATAATGAGTTGCTGTTGTCACTTTGATCCCATATACAACCACCACGGGGGGTTCCTCCCCTATAGCACAATTCCGTGAAGGTACACGTTTTCAAGTTTCTGATGTCATATCGTTGTTAGTTGTTATGGAGGCAATTCCAATTCATGGTGACCCCTTGTGTGCAGAATAGACCTGCTCCATAGGGTTTTCAAAGGAGTCTTGGTGGTCTGGTGGATTATTTGTTAGGCTGTTAACTGAAAGGTCAGCAGTTCTAAACCACCAGCCTCTTGTAGGGAGAAAGATGAGACTTTCTACAGTCTCATAACCTACAGAGGCAGTTCAACTGTCTTATATGGTGACTATGAATTGGAATGGACTCAATGACAATGAGTTTGGTTTTGATAAGGGTTTTCAGTGCTTGGGACCTTTCACCAGCAGCAGAGCTGAAGCCTGTCTTCTGAGGTATCTCTGGGTGGTTGCAAACAACCAACATTTGCCTAGTAGTTGAACGCTTTATTGTTTGTGCCACCAAGTCGACCCGGGGTGTGTTATATGTCTATTATATAAGTAACCCATGATGCTTCCAGACTTCCCATATGTCTTGATCTATATGCCTACCCACCCACTAATTTAGAAGCCCTGGTGGTGGGTTCAGTGGTTCAAATCCATTAACCTTTCCAGAAAGATGAGGCTGTCCGCCTTCATGAAGATTCCAGCTCTCAAAGGCCACAGACAAAAGCTTTCTTTTCTTTTTGTCTATGACGTTGCTGTGTATTTTTCTTGGCCTGTTTGATGTATGTATGTAA